GTGTGCTATGCAAAAAGAGACGAAGAGTACCTATGTGTGCCTCTGGGAGGCCCTCCCTCCAGGTGAGGTTAACTGGGAAGCGTCCCTCACCGGTGTACATCTGACTGCACCGTGGAGAAGCACTGGTGCCGTGGTGGGCTGAGCACTGAGCCGCTCACCACACGGTTGGCACTTCCTCCCCCAGCGGCTCCCTCCCTGGGATTCCGAAAGATGTGGTTATCCACTTCCGGTTATCCACTTCCATGAAAACTCGAAGGCAGTTCTACCCTGTCTTAGAGGGTCGCTATGGGTCGGCATCCACTTGGTGGGTGTGAGAATGGTATTTCAAATAACAAATGAAATCCTATGTAAGCAGAAGGACCCCGGCGGTGGTCTTGGGTAAGCGTTGAACTGCTGACCGGAAGGCCCGTGGTTCAAACCCAAAGGGTGGCTCCAGAAAGATGGGCCACCTGCTCTTGTAGAGGTTCAAAGCCTCGGAAACCCTACGAAGGGTCACTGTGAGTTGAGACAGACACCATGGCAGTTGTTGTTTTGGGGAGGTTAACATTTAAGCAAACGGGTAGACCCCAAATTACAGAAGCATTTTCTGTGGGGTTCAGAGGGAGGGCATGGGGTGGTGGCAACAAGCATTTAAGTTAAGGTTCTACAAATAAACCTGTCTTGTATAGTTGACCTTAGAACCATGTAATTGTTTTATACAAACCTAACGTTAAGAAGTGCAATCCTTACAGTGGAGGGCAACACGCTCACGTGTGAAGGGGTGATGTGGCGTGAGCACACAGCAGGAATGGCTCAGCGGACCTCACAGCGCTGTAATCTGACGGCACCAACCCTGGTCGGGTCCACGGCAGGCTGAGAGGCACAGCAAGGCACAGCGTGCACTGCCTGGAGTCAAGTTAATGCAGGGTTATGAAAGGACCCCTGGTGCCACAGCGGTCACAGTGGTTAGCCGCCAATAGAGATGTCGGTGGTTTGAGCCCACTGGCTGCTCTGTAGGAAAAAAGATGAGGCAGCCGGCTGCCCTAAAGCTCACAGCCTTAGGAACCCTGTGGGGCAGTTCTACTCTGTGCTAGAGAGGGACTCGAGTCCAGGTCGGCTCGGCAGCACAGGACAACAACAACACAGTAACAAATGCGTTACTTGATTATCATCGGTATTAATGGGCATACCTACCAACGACCACCTATCCCTTAAGACAGTATCAACAAATGACGTTCCTAAGACGCCAACTCTCTATTTTGAAAACTCACTGTTTGGACACTAGTAAATAAAGGCAGAGTGCATACGCATAGGTTAGGCTCCAATCTCTAAT